ATATAATACAAGTATTTTTAAGTTCTGACAGTATCTTAAATGTATACTGTGTTTCACTTTCTAGCACATGGTTTACTGAATTTTCCCAGAATAAATCAAAATGTTTGTAACAGAAAGTTTAATGCTTAAAATCCTTAACCCTGAATCTTGAATGCTCAATACTGACTCTAGAATCCCCTTAGAAAATCTTGCACCGATTTTTATAAGAAATACCTTATCTCTCCATATTTGGTGGCTGACAGAGATAAGCATTTTATGTTTGTGACGACAAGTGTTGTTAAAATTACCATAACATAATCAAACAGACTGATTCCTCACATGTACAAATGTATATGATGGTAACCGACGATTGAGTTACATGAACTTAACCTTAATAATTGCAGGCATTGTGTCCCAAATTTATGAAGGTAACCGCTTACATGTTACCGTACTACAATCTAACAGACTGATACACAATCTATGTCCAACAGAAATATTAATATAAATAATGACAACAAATTAGGTCTGTATTCTCACACAAATTAATTGTTAAATCAAACCTTCAAAAGGTGCATTGCTAAAACTGCAACAGTTCAAAACAAATTTTATCGTCAGTTCTGACCATTTAACTACTGGACTCATGCACCAGCGACGTTTTACAAAGCATGTTATGAAAACCTTGTCAACAAAACGAACAAACAAACAAACAAACAAAAATAGACCATCACTCAAGTTATGCAAATAAGACATTCCATAAGCAAATGTGAACAATTGTTCAATGTAAATCATTTCGTCTATTAGATCTACAATGTTGGTGTTATTGCCCATTTCCAAAACATTGACAAGTAATCCGCCGTTTATATGTAAATTTAGATGGTTACTTCATTAGCAATAGCTAAAACAAATAAAATATCAAGTAAATATAGATAAGCTGACTCTCAAGCAACCGTACACAGTTTAAATTTATTATCCAAAGCAACCGTACAATGAGTTAGCAAGCAACACAACACCAATGATCACTCATATGTCACCGTTTCCTAAACCTCTGTATGCACACCTGTCATTGCTGAATTTTCTTAAGTTCACATGATTATTCTTCAAAGTGTCCGGAGGATTTGCTCATATATTATAAGTAAAGCTTGAAGTCGGTGTCAACAATAGTGACATCTTTTTTTAGGAATCGGTGTCAGAAATCGTATTTTGTCGGAAAATCTAGGTTTAACCGTAGGGCTTAGAACAGGAATGATCTCTTTTATATAACTCCTATTGAGAAGATTAACAATTCTTTCATGGTTGGTCTTTATTTTGTCTATTACCAATTTTCAGTTCAAAATTAGCGATTTTTCTCGTTTTTGTCGCTCGCAAGCGGAAGTTTAAGCGGACAAGGAGTGTACACTGTGTTACTAGATAAATGAATCCGATAAATGTAAAGTACTTGGCACAGACTAAAAGTTTTGCTATTTATCTTTTTTTTCGTTAATGAACTTTATGCTGTAGACAGCAGATAAACGGATGTTTGTTCTTACGCATAAAATTGTTTCTATTGATTTCTTAAATTTGTTTTTTCCAATCTCTGAAGGATCTCTAAAATAGTTTCTTTGTTAATATCTGCAAAAAAATATGCAGATGTAAAGTTAGTTAATTACATTTTTCATATTGATATATTTCAGTTTCTGTTGCAAATGTTGCACTTTCCGGACCAAGTTCTAGTTTTATGAAAGAGCATTCCCGACAAACAATCAAGTGTACGACATCACCTAGTCGACCACAACCAAGAGTAAGTTGGTATCTCTATGAATCTGATTACAGCGTTAAACATAAGATAACTGTAAATTCGTCAATACAGATACACAATAGTGAAGATGAACTGGTAGCTGTCGAAAGCACCTTACAATTTTACCCAAATAGATCGATAAACAACTGGATGCTTAATTGTGAAGCGTTGACAGACGGCGAAACCAGTGCAATTCATAGCAAAATACTGGCTTTAAATGTTGCTTGTAAGTCTTTGTTTTAAAGAATCGGTAAATATGTTTATTAATGAAGTAATCAAAATATGGATATTTTTTCTAAAGGATAGCATAAACAGTTGCTTAGAAACAGTCTTCATTACAAGCTGTTTTTTAGTTCTGGCTCCCAAAACTTTATAAGCCGCTTTTTTACATTTTGTTTTTAATCTGATGCGGCATTAAAGTTTTGGATTAGACCCGTTACGAAACATTACCAGAATAACATAAGTTGATTTAACCTTATTTTTCACTTGCAAATACACTTTACCCAATCAATTCTTGTGCATTTTACGATAAAATAATTATTTTAATATCGTTCTATACCAATTAAAGTATCAAAATATTAATACCGTTATTAAAATTGCCTATTTAACCGGCTACAGTCGGCCATGACATTTAGGTGCCACGCGAGATCTTGTATGACGACATTCGCCGGAACCGATTAGAATAGAGTCGTGTACTATATTTAGAACATCTTTGTTGACATGATTTCGATATTTTTTATTCAAGATAATGTTTTTATTTATTTTCATTTATTTTTTAGTACATAAATAAGATTTTATTGAATACAAAAGTCAGTAAATCACCTGTTTCAAAATCTTTAAAAAACGTAATTTACAAAAATATTGGAAGCACATGGGTTCGTAAAGGTCAATCTCGTAATCACGTGGTCAAACATTTTGGCAATATGGCGGCCAAGTGCCGAAATTTTTACCTGTCGGAAACTATTTGGTAATTTATGTTCGTTATAAGATTTTAATTTGTCCACCCTTGGCTTAATATATAGTTTTATCAAGGTATGCTTCACTTTACTTCATGGCATGTTCGATGAATGAATACGAGCGTGTCAGACTCCTGGCACGATTATTGGTGGACTTTCCCTACGGGGTTGTCTTCATCGTTCACGTCATATCATAGTATATAAACGGGTACGCTGAAGACCTTAAGCTAGCTGGTTTTTTAAATGTTTTGTTTGTAATGGTTAGAACATTCCATTTATTTTCTACATTACTAATTTCCTATATTTCGACATTTGCCCTTTTCATTATAATGAATTTTGATTAAAATATAACGCTCACATATGCTTATAAGTAAAATCGAAAATTTAAGTTAATATTCTGATAAATTTATAGAAAGTACAATCGATAACTGTGAAGTCGGGAATAAAGCGTACATAACTGGAAATTAATTCATATTTTCTGGATATTGATTGGTCCTCAGTCTGAAAATTATGAACTCCTTCAAGTACAAACGATCAAAAACTAAGAATGTGCTTACATTTAGCAATCAAGACCAAAACATTTTTCTTTTCTATTGTTATAGACAAATTGAATCTTCTAAAGTTATGAAAGATTATTGCATTAGCACTTTCCAAGTTTTTCGACCATAAACATTCTCTATACATGCAACCACTCAACTTTGTTTAAAGAAAAATATCCATTTCCAGGCTCAACGACTGTGCACAGTATGTAAAACGTAAAACATTAGTGATATGAGTATGTTCTTAGCATGACATACATATTATTTGTTTAGGGAGGTTGTTGTTTTTTTTTAATTGTAAGAACTGATTTAGCGCAGAAAGATACCTAAGCTTGTTCCGAAACTTTAAGATGTTGCCATTGTATTTTATTTAGACAAACGTTTATTCAAATTGTTTGTTCAATCAAGTTGAAACAGCGATACAACTAAAAAAGGAATGTATGAAAATGCCTGTAGTATAAACGTTTGCTAAAATGTGCAGTAGAGAAGTAGTGAAGTATTTGCTAAGTAAAGTTAAAAGACATGACATTAATGACGCTTTTATAGCTATTGTGTATTTTGATTATTTGATATTTTATTGAAAAAAATTATGAAATATTTCAAGATCCTCCACAGAAACCTGTTATCATTGGATTCACAGACGGTGAAAAGTATTCACTAATAGAATCTGAGTTTGGCAACTTATCTTGTTCGTCAAATGGCGGGAATCCACTAGCTAATTTAACATGGAATTGCTATAACAGTAAACCAACATCTATTACCATTGAAGACAAAACAGTTTCAAGCACTGTTACATGGTCTGCGTTTCGTGGTCAGTCATCTTGTCTTTGTATTTCACATCATTCGTGGTCTGGAACTACGCAAATTACAACTGTAATGATTGATGTTCTTTGTAAGTTCTAAATTTTATATATAATCAGATAAATAACATAGTGTATTTGTTTGTTTTATATTAAGACGTTCGTCAGTAACAAAACGTTTAAAATCCTGAAGATGATTACGTATACTGCTTTAAAGTGATAATATTGTTAGTATTTATTTATTTTTCCAAACGTGCGTGATAATATTGTTAGTATTTATTTATTTTTACAAACGTGCTTTAATTTATTATTACTATGCAATATCTTGATAAATACTTTCAATAATCGATATAAAGTATTTTGACATACATGTTTTAAGACCATCCAAACAAACCAACAATGACCATCAGCAATAAAACCGTCTCAAATGTAATTAACGTTATTTTGAGCAAAAACGTGCAAGTAAAATGCGAAAAAGTAAAAGCAACCCACACTCAAACTACACTGGGACAGGCCCACTGATTGAGCAAAACGAAACAAATAACTAGATTTAACAATTTAACAAACACGAAGAGACAAAGATGTTTAAATGCATTGCAACAAACGAAGGTTAGACAGGGAAGTACACATTAATGGACATAATAACTGCTGTTACAAATAAAGGTGTTGTGTATGTATCACTTGTTACAAACCTCACTTTCTTAGATACTGTCAGATAATTCAACTTAATAAAGCATCAAATAACTTTATACAAATCTAAATAAAATTATTCTCAAATTAATACATTTTATTAGAATTAGACTTTCATTGCCTCAAGAAATATCAATTTTGGCCAAACAATGATTGAAACAAAATAAAGGAAATTTTTCACAGATATTTCACATTATTGTCCTATCCAGTTGTAAAGTAAAAGCGTACACGCAGGAAAATGAATGTCAATAATATTAAATCGTGTTTTATCAGATCCACCTGGGAATCCTTATTTCAAATATGAATATAGCAATGGAACAAAGGTCAGTACTCAAAATATGATAGACGTTGTAGCAGGAGACTCGTTTTTAATACATTGCAATGCTGCAGGAAATCCAATACCGACATACAAATGGGACAGTAATGAAGGCAACGGTATTTTAAAGATAACTTCAGTTACTTCCGATATAAATAAAACATGCCATGCAAAGAACATAATGGAGGAAACAGTCGGTGAAAGTCGAACAGTATCGACATCTGCCTCATTTTTTATTAGGGTTCTTCGTATGTATAATTATAATACATGTATTATATAAACTTGTATTTAAGAACTGATTCAAACACAATTTTACTCTTTAACTTTAATGGTGAAAATAAGTTTTTTTCAGACAAGTGATATTTTAAATCAGTCATATCAACAAAATGCAATTTTCAACTAAAAGGTTTATTTTAAGCTAGGCCTGCATTAATTTTAGTTTCGCTGTCTTTCTTTAAAAACGTTTTCTTAGAAACCTTAAAATTTACCATGTTTATAAAAGTGTTCCATTTATTAAAACATTTATGCGTGAGTTAAAACTTTCTTTCTTTTATTTATACCATTACGACTTATTTTAAAGACACAAAGAACATTGCTTATTTTAGTTTTTTTCTGATTTGCTCATAATGATAGTATTTAAGTAGTTAATAGTGCGCCAGTACATAATAAAAATATTTCTGTGAATGCTCATTATTACATTCATAGATGCGCCATACATTCCTACGATCACGATTTCGAACGGAACGAGGCAATTAAACATTACAGCAGCGACTATCCAATTAAGAGAAACAGACAACATCAATATGACCTGTTTTTCTGAAGGAAAACCTCTCCCAAAATACACCTGGGATAGCCACAATGATCAAATACAAGGACGTAAACGTCAATTTACAAATATTAACCGAAAGGATGCCGGGAATTACACGTGTTATGCGAGTAACTTGATGAAACGCACTTTTGGTGACACTGAACAAGGGATGAACGTTTCCAGCTTGTTTCTCGACATAATGTGTATGTATGAAATAAATATATATTTTCTTCGTAGATAATTCAAATATATTCAAAGTTGTGGAATGCAATTGTTCAAAACATAAATGTGTCAACCTGCATGCGTTCATAATTTTAATATCATTTCAAATTCTTTTAAAACACGGTTGCAGATCCATCAACTCTTTTATCACAAGACGACATAAGTATTCTCGAAGGATCAGACCTTTAATTTTTAAATTTTCTTTTAGAAGGGAAAGGTGTAGGGATGAATCGTGATGAAAAAATTGGAGAAAAATAAAACTGATTATAACTAATGTTTCTAGAGCAGATGATACAAAATATACTTGCACTCTAAACGAAGTACAATCATTCCAACAATTGTGACGAAACATTGGCCATAAGAAGCAAAAAAAATACATCTTAATGTTTTTTGTAAAGTATACTTTGTTATTAAATAATCAAAATCACTTTTATACCAATCACTTAATGTTATTAATGTTTATTGGAAAGGGCGTGAAATAACGCAAGCTTACATTGTATTATGTGAACTATTTGAGGTTCCTATTTTTATTGATTACACAGAGTAATTGTCAGTTACTATCACTATTATCTATTTTATTAAAAATATAACTACGAAGAGAGTACAACGTTCACAGAGAAAGTAAGTGTTTTATTGAAATCACATTTGAAACTGTGTAACCCGTAAGAATACTTGAATTTTCCATTCATCAGAAAAGGTAATATGTATTTTATCCTTTTTATCAATGCTAAATCTAAAAACTAAATAGTTTATATTTCATTTAATATATTAAAGAATACTTTTTATGAGAAGCAAAGGATTTTACGTTTACAACTTTCGTTTTTTCTACCGTGGTGTGTAGTTTGTCAACTAATAAGCGAAAATGTATTAAAACATTGTAGGGGGCAATACATGATTTTTTTATCTTGATTTATAATAATAATATGTTTCAGTTTCTTCAGAAATCAAACATTTTACTGTTGTAAAAAACAAGTCAAGTGGAACTTTTATTGTAAACCAAACAGATGAAGTTTCATTAGAATGTAGAGCAGAAGCTAACCCAGTCTCGGATTTATCTATATACAATACACGTGGCAAGAGGATATGGACAGTAAAAAACAGAAATTTGCTGCTTTACAGCATAACAAATGCTTCGTACGAAAACGCAGGCAAATATAAATGTGAAGGCAGAAACAACTACACAAAGGATAAACCATCAGTATCAGAACTGACAATGATTGTCAAATGTAAGTTTAACCGGCTTTGCATAGGACTTTCTTTCATTTTAGTCTTTCTTTGTACATTTACTATTGGCTTAAACGATAAAAATACTTGTTTCTTTTAAAGCTTGTTCAACGAATGAGCTAATAATATAATATTTGGCTTTTTATTGTAAAATTCGCGTTACGCGGCATCACAAAAATACTGCAACTTAACTTTCCTTTGATTGTATACCTGCAAGTATAAGGATGTGTAATGTATCTGTTACACATTTAACATTTCCTATCGTCCTGTCTAACCTTACACTTTCGTTCATAGATGCATCTGTAAATTTTGTATTCTTTAATGTATTTGAGCAATCGCCTTTTAACGTCAAATTGTTTTGATCTGTTCTGCATTGATTTATATCAAATCAGCTAGTGTCGAGGGTTTGAAGGGAGCCAGAAAAACATATCTTTTTCTGCTTTCTGTAAACTGTTTATATATAAGATTTTCATGTTTTATCTGATACTAGATCACTCTATTGAAGAATGTACAAGTTTTTTTTATAAAACATAATTATATTACGCGCTTAATAGTACTATTTTTTAATTATTAAATTTATTTATTTTTAAAACGAATATTCACTTCAGTTATTATCTTTTATGCTATGAATTATTTTCTACAGTCGAATAAATGAGGACTATTTTATCAGATGATGATATAAAGCCCCAAAACAATGGGGTAACAAAAACATCGTGACGCGTTTTCTTTTAACTCTAACCCGCTTTGTAACATTCCTCTGTTAAACAGATACTTTAGGGCATTATATACACGTCATAAAAAGGGGTTAAAAAAAATTATTGGGGAATATTTTGTTTTCCCCTTATGGGTTTCAGATTTTTTTTTCATTGTTTTTTTTCTATTTTGATTAAACGAAAAAAGATATTATAATTTTCTTTCCATTTTCCCGTAAAAAAAAATACAATTTTCTTGTAAATTTTCATTCAACCTACCGATCAATTGGGGACTACCGAACAAAAATCATTAAACGTCAACACATTCGAGTTTTAAACCAACCGAAACGTCAGTTTAACAGGGCTATAGTTCCCCTTTTTAAAAAAAAAGCCGTGTTGATGGTTTAAAGCTTAAATATCGAAGTTTTTGGGCCCCAAACGATTTTTCTGAAAGGGGCATCTGTGACCCTCAAAATTAGTGATCCAAAAAATTAGCACGACACGTTGTCTTAATATAGTGATAATTTCTGTGAAATAATTGCAAAATCTGACTTCAAATAAGGAAGTTATGGGCCGGACACGATTTTGCTGCAAGGTCATGCTGTGACCTTGACCTTCAAGATAGCGACCCAAATGTTGCGCGCGACTCGTCGTCTCAATATGGTGATAATTTTTGTGAAATAGTTGTAAAATCCGACTTCAAATAACGAAGTTATGGGCCAGACAAGATTTTGCTGCAAGATCATACTGTGACCTTGACCTTCAAGGTAGCAATCCAAAATTGCGCACGACACGTTGTCTTAATATGGTGATCATTTCTGTGAAATAGTTGTAAAATCCGACTTCAAATAAGGAAGTTATGGGCCGGACACGAATTCGGGACGTACGTACGGACGATTTTTCAGCAAGCATGAAAAGAGCACAACATGAACTGTTAATGCTCGTCTGTAAAATGCATATCCACAATCAATTACACATTTTTTATAAATAGCATAACTTTCTTAAGAGGCATAATGTCTTGACTTCAGTATATAGTACCTTGTCATGACAATAAAGTATTACACGTTTCAAATTTTGAAATTAGCGTACTGATAATTAGAAGTTGTGACAAAAACGCTAAATTGAAAAGGGGCATAACTACAGAAATATTGCTTACGCAATAATGATATGCATGACATGCCCATTGTATTTCAACAGTTCCTTGCAAGCAATGACAATCCTTTAAGCAATTTTGTAAAAATAAATATCAAGAGACAACACTCTTTAAAGTTTGATTTTAGGTGAATGCCCCTTGTTTTACAATTTCGCCTACTCACAGTTAAGCGTATCCGCTTAATGAAAAGTCAAGCATTTACAAGTTAAAATGGTGGGGGCGCTGATCGAAAGCATCCTAGTTAGTAGGGGCGCGGGGTAACGTTTTATTTATTCAACTTTGCTCCTCGCCCCCGCGTAGGAGCGTGTTTTCGCTCCGCGCCCCCGCCGCTTTATTTCTTAAATACCGCTACTGATCACGCGGAGTTACATGTTATCTATTTAATCACATGTTATCTATTTAATCCCGCCCGCGCCTCTGCTAATAAGCGTGTTTTCGCTTCGCGACCTTGCCATTTTTTATCTTATTATTTCTCCTTTTTTCGCTTGGCGGGATCACGGGTTGAGGTTTAATGAATGTACAAAACGGCAGAGCCGCAGAGTAAAAATACGCTTATTAGCGGTGGTGCGCGTCGACGTTTTATTTATTAAACATCGCCCCGCCCCCGGCTAAAGAGCGTGTTTTCCCTTCGCGCCCCCGTCATGCTAGCTTCGCGCCCCCGCGGGGTAACGTTTTATTTTTTGAATCTCGCACCGCGCCCCACTTATAAGCGGGTTTTCGCTCCGCGACCTTGCCATTTGCACTTGTTATTTTTCGATGTTTTGCATGGCGGGGTCGCGGGGCGAAAACTTTTGGCACATTTCAGCCACCATACCTTTGCCTTTTAAATTGTTAAGATTAACAAGTCTTCAGAATGTCATGGTGATGTCCTATACTGTTTTGAATAAATTCTAGTATGTAAATATTAAGTATTTTGACAAAAAAATCAAACGGGCATTGCTCGAAAACATAGCTTTAAGAATAATACTTCATGCCTTACAATTGGTCTTGTCATGATAAACAAGTATTCCAAGTTTCATATTGATACCTTTTATATTGATTGGGTCCTGGGCTACACTAATGTTTTGACGACAACGACGCCGCCACAGCGCTCAATATTGTTCGATGTTTTCTTCAAAACAGACCAGCTTATGTATAGTTTTCTTTTTTCTTATACATCCTTGTACATTCATTATTTGCTGAAAATGACTCTGTATTTTAGTAGGTATATATCTCGGATGGTCCAATAATTTTGAGGATCCTTTAACTGTGGATTTAGAAGTGATAACTGATAAAATGATGTTGTTTTACACTTTAACTCGTTTGATGTTTCTTGTGTACATTCTTTTTCGTTATATTCTTCCAGCTTTGATATGGATAGAAGGAACATGTTGTGAACTTTTTCTATTAAAATATATTGTATAAATTCCAGGTTCACCACGACCGTCACTTGATAGCATATTCCCCAATAAGATCGCAGCTGCTCAATATACAAACAAGACTTTGAACTTTGTTGCTTATGAATACTTGGATGAAGAAAATAAAACAGAATTTATGTGGTTCCACAAAAATGTTGCAATCGAAAGAAATGATGAAAAAATTGAAATATTCACAATTGGATTAAATTCTAGTCTTTCTGTTAGAAATATTACACAAATAGATTTTGGAGAATATAGTGTCAAAGTGTCAAACACATTAGGAGAGTATGTTCATCATTTTATGTTGCAAGCAGAAGGTAAACTATATTTATGAATTCGTATATTTTTTTTTTCAAATTGAAACTGTTATTGAATATTATGTATGGATCATGTCCTTTGGAAATAATATATCCATGGTATTGTTAAATAAAAAAGTGACTGTACATGTATTATGATTAATAGTGATTAACTTATTAAAAAATGTCGTATTTGCGTTTATTATTTCTTAACAATTTATAATAATTATATATAAATTTAATATCTTTTACAGATAAGCCAGATGTGCCTATAAATTTAACGTACGATACGGGTTCAATCACTGAATCATCAGTAACATTGGTTTGGACTCCAGGTTTTGATGGTGGCTTTCCACAGACTTTCATTTTGTTATATCAGTACAGTCAGGAGAAGAAGTGGCATAGTGTTCAAGTTCAGGATACAAATGAACAAGCAATACACTATACGTTAACTGGGTTGTTGAGTTCTAAAGTGTATAATATAAAAATGTTTTCAATGAATAAAAAGGGGAACTCTTCCTTTACCCAGAATCTTCAGATCACAACTAAAAGTAAGTCGATGATATACATTTGCTACTTTCATAAAACAAATACTTAAGATTAAAATACTTTTACAAAATGATGACATTCCTGCATTTATAATTGTTCATTTGTTTTGATCGGCTTTGACGTTGATTTTTATACACTTTATGTATTAAACAATAAGACATGAAATAAAAAGGTTAAGCAAAACAAAGCTCAATCGATAAGTGTTTATTTGTAGACAAACAAACAGTATATATAACAAAGTTAAAAATCAAAACGCTGTTGCTTACATTCAATGCAACAATTAAAAAGCTAGGTAATTGGTAAAAAATTGTATGATTTGTACGCAATGTTACCTATGTGTTCCTTGGTTTATTTATGTATATTTTTCAGTGAACGTTAAAACAGCAGACTCACAATCATCAGATAATGCCGGCATTATAGGTGGTAGTATTTCAGGTGTTGCTGTTGTTATGATTGTGAGCATCCTTGTAGCTGTATTTTTCTTTAAAAGAAGGAAATGAAAATTGATTTAGTCTTATATGTTGCTCTGTATTTATTATTTCGCTAAAAGTGTTAAGATTGGACTATGGTGTATTACCTTTATGGCATACTAGTGTTAATTTTATCTTATTTACTTTATAATATTATGTATTCTACAATTTTCCCATTTGCTTTATTGCTTCATTATGAGTCATAAAAGCTCTTTTATTTATATGTTATAATTTTCAGTGATTAGGTACTTTGCATGATTAAAAACAGTCCCATTTTGAAATATTATAGGAGGGAGATAATCTTGTTTGTTTATGCCATAGCGATGCATTCTTAATACAAAATACGGTAGACAACATTTAAAAACTTAAGCGCATAAAGAAATGACAAACAAATTTACATGTATATTGAATATTTCCATGACTTACATTCAAGCATATACACAGATAAACATTCAGATTTATATATATAGACAATGTATATATATTATGAAACTTTAATCATACATTTCATAAATGCAATTTGCAATGACTTAAACAAAAAGAAATATACATGTATTAATCTCAAACGCAATGGAACTCAAGAAGAACGTTTGAGTAAATTCAGTGATAAAATGTCCGAATAATTCAAACAAAATGCGATCATTGAAGCGTTAGGGGATATAAAGAGGTATTTTATAAAAACGATAGGGAAACATATTGTAAATGCTTAATTTGAATCAGCATTATGAAAAAACAGAATTTGCAGATTTATATGTTTGTCTTATTTCGTTTAAACACGTTCATTTTAAGCAAGATTGCAAAGCATGTTCTGGAAACAAAATATGTTGCTTTTTTGATTATCCATCATGTACAGAATCAATCAAACTGAATCTGCACTTTCCATTTTCTAGTTTTGTTGTGATTAATACTGCAGGGGAATCACCCTTCTCAAGACTCATACATCACAACAGCAGCTGTCAAGCGCCATACGGCAGATTTAAACATTTGCCCCTTATTGCTTACCAGTATCGTTATATTTTGGGGTCCTTTTGGGATCATTCACTCCAGCAGTTTTACGTGTTGAAAATTGAATTCCTCTCGTTGTTAGCCGGAGTGAGGGATGTTGCACATTTTCATTGTCTCCCAAGTACAGACTCCATCAAACAAAACCTGCAATTGTCATGAAATTTTGTTGTGATGTATGCTTTTGAGGGATCACCCTTTCTATAAATTAATTTTGATTCCGCTCCCTGTGCCTAACCAGGACTAGAATTGTATTAAGAGACATGATAGGGAGCTATTAAAGGCTCAACCTATGATTCGTTGGTTTGGTGGCATTGATTTTGTTTTGTTTGTTTGTTAGTTCAACAGTTAAAAAACAACTATAATAACAGGATTCAAAGAAACATAATATTCCGTATCTTATAACAATGTGATGTATATATAGTTAAATTCTGTTCACTGTTGCTATTGTTATTTGGCTAATAGCGCTTGACAAAAATGTGTGTTTTCAGAAATATAAGATCTTCACAGCGTGAAAGTCCCAAACCAGGTAATAAACATTAATTTTTTTAAAGTAAACGCTTTGTTTCCTGCCTGCATGCTTACCTTTTTCCTACTGTTATGTGTCTAAGTTGTAACAATTTGTGTATATAAATGCATTAACTAAGTTATATAACTTGCTAAGGTATAGAGTTCATAATAATACACGTTTGTAATTTCCATTGGATAATCGTGACGTTTATATAGTTTTATATGCTGTCAATTTATGACTAAATCGCCTTTTTTCTCTAAAATGGAAGTTTGCAGTTTTATAAATTCTTTATAAATATTCCTTAAAGGTTAAATGGACGAATATGGACGGATATAAACAGTTATTTGCAATAAAGAGTTTTTTATATTTATTTTGTTTATTTTTAAGGCACACAGGGTTTTCTGCCTTTAAACGTTACAAATTTATACAATATATACATACTCAAACATAAAAAACATAGTTGATTTGCGATACCTTTAATATATTACTCGTTAATTTAGGTGTTACTGCCGTTAGCCATGTCTCATCCACGTACACAGATTTGGATGTAAGCAGGAGAGAAATAAATAATTATGATGACTTCAATATTACATATGAACGTCTGAACGCTTCAACCCGGGAGCCAAATACATACATGGAGTTGAAAAATACAAATGTACATAATACTGACACTTCCGACTACGTTAATATAGGAATATAAACTATCAATTTAAATTCTTTCATGAAATGTTACTAAATATTTAATGTTGTTAATGGAAGAGTACAGAAAAAACTGATACTTAAACAAAAAATGTTATATTGCGAATCATATATTATTATAGATCTGACTGAATAAAGAATGGTTGCAGTTTTAATTTGTAGCTCTAATTATCTAATTTATGTTTGTTTGAGGTACATGTATATATTATATTGATAACAGTGTTGCTTATAATGGCAAAAAAGGTTCACACATTAATTGTTATGGAATTTGAACTAATAAAAATTATGATTTGTATATATTATTTGTTACATTGTTATAATTGGTAAGTGATATACATGAATTACGAACTATATACGTATACATGCTCAACTTGGAGAAAATTGAAGGAAAGTCGACCCTTTTGACTACAAAAAAAAGATTTTACACAAGACGTTAAATAGGTTATAAATATATATACTTTTTTACGTATGACATCAATGCAATTTAGGTGATAATAGATTAATGATACATATACTGAAGTATGGCTGCAACGATTAAACTATGCTGTATACCTTTTATTATTTTATCGAAACATAAAACAAAATGAAAATACGATAAATTTGCCATGTGTCATTTATTTCACGAAATACGTCACAATTATAGTCTCGTGGTTATCTTATGTGTAGGGAAAAAGTGTTGATCGGATTTTGTCATATGTTTTATTGAAATTTCAACGACTTATACTTAAAGGTTGGCAGATTGACATTATAAGCTATAAACATTATAAATTCAGATTCAAATTGAACAATGAGGTAAATTCTTTTTCCTATATTCTTCCATCTACTTCTAAACCTTTATTCGAAATGATACATATATACATAAAATATTCGAAATAATACATATATACATAAAATATTCGAAATAATACATATATACATAAAATATTCAAAATGATACATATATACATAAAAAAGCTTTTCAAGTATTTAGATTTCGATCATTTAAGGCACTATTTGTTTCAGATTATTAACTATTAGATGTAAATGTAAATAAATAATGCTTTTGTTTGAAAGGGGTGGGGTACGGGTGGTAGTGGGAGGCCTCTTTGATAACAAAAATGGCATTGTCTGTTAGCGCATATTATTATTATTATTATTATTATTATTATTATTATTATTATTATTATTATTATTCCAGGTCAGAAATAAAAACTTTCGGTTTTAATTTTAATTTGTCTAAAGAATAAACTGTTTCATAGAAATTATTCACTGCAACGAACTTGGATGTTGATGTTCGAACCGATTATATGAGTACCTTGATAATCAAAATCAGCAAGGCATCAAACACAACACTGCCGTTTTCTGTAACATGTTTGTACGCTTCTATGAGATATTTTGCTGATCGCCAATTCTTGCCGTTTTTGTCATCACAGTTTAGATAAAATTGTAATTTTATCACGGCCTCTATTAAAATCATTTTAAACTATAATTAATAAATGTATTAGTATTTCTCTGTCAATATACAGCAAATTGAATCTGTATCAACATATGTCTTTCATTCCTCGTATCAGACCCAATGTTAAAGGTACAAAATCAACTAGATAAATATCTTTATTGGTAAATTTCATCTAAAGTCTAAGTAATTTAAATAAATATAGCCAAATATGTTTCCAAAAACATTGTAAGAAATGTTGCACGAAGGAGTGTTTTGATGATATTTTACTTTTACTATTTAGAAACAATGGTTATTATATTCTTACGTAAGATGTTTATCGATTACATAGTATTGTAATTTTGATTATGTTGTAAAGTATGTGTGACAGTTGAAAAGGTGGATTTTGCCATTTTTCTTCTTCTTTTTTTTTAAATTGCATTTACTGTGCTAAATTTAACTATTGAATCGAGAAAGGTGCTAAGAATGCAACATTTCAAGCAAACGTACCAAACTTAGGTTCGTATCTCTTTTACCTTTGTGTCACAGGGTGAGAAAAGTATGCTGCCAGACCAAGACTGACTCGAAAACTTGTCCTACGGAATAATGTTCTACGGCTCTGCCGAGTGAGCTATCAAGTAGCTTATATATCTTCTCCCCCTAAATAGTGAACAGTTCCGAACCATGACATTTGCATTTCACATGGCATCTTTATTTAGAAAATGTTTATATTTTATGCCGTGTTAATTAACAGAAATATCCCACATCGCGTTTTGGAAAACGTTTATCTACTCATTTGCACCTATCTTTACAGCTACATGTATTTTATCTACTTTCTTTTCTTCTTTTTTCTTTGAAAAAAATGGTCAGGTGTATTGGCAAAGAAATATCTCACATTGAGTGTTTCGGAAACATTTTCCTACAAATTTGTACCTGCCTTTGCAGCTAGGTTACGTCATATTTTTTCTGTTTTCTTTCTTTTTTCTTTGAAATGAACAACAGAAATTGTCAGGTATATTGGTAATGTGGGTTTGTATTTTGTTATATAACGTATGTTATATTAGCTAACAAGCGAACAATATATCCACATCCAAAGATAACAACAAGTCCTAAAGCCCCTGAAGATGACTTGATATACATTCTGTCTGGAAAAAATAATAGGACTGACACAATCTTTCAGATATAACAAGGTGCTACCTTGAAATATATTCTTTAAATATGGACACAAAAAATTGACACACTAAAAATGTCATGTATTTGTAATTAGACATTAAACCTTATTGACGTAAGAATAGCTTTGCTATTTGTTATTATAACAAAATAATGTGTTTATCTGTCACAAAAATCATACAAATCACTTTTCGAAACATTTTGTATACGTTCATATACCCACATTTATACAGGCTT